TATATTATATATCATAATTATATAATATATTATATAATAATAATTTTATTATATTATATTACATTTTATATATTATATTGATAGATAAAATATTAGTGTTATATATATTATAAGGATAAGTTTGTCAATATGAAAATATTCATGTTCCATTCCAGAGAATTCTTAAAATTATAATCAAACAAATGAATTAACTTTCTTTTCCATTCCATTCTCATTACCATTCTCATTCCTATTCCCATTACTGTTCCCTCACTGTAACCAAACGCACCCTAATAAGTGTTTACTTGACTATGAGATGGTATAATTGGAAACAACTTTATTTTCTTTCTTATGTTTAGTAAAATTATGAATAGCAATGCTATGAACGTTATCACTAAAATGTCTTTTTAAAGAATTAAATAATAATAGACAATATAATAACTCCTTAAGGGTGGATAAGTAAATTTAGCATTCATTTCCTTTTACATGAATGAATCAATATTAAAAAGGAATGCAATGATTGTCATTCCCTTTTCTCATTTATTACATTGTATAAGACCCTATTAAATCTCTGTTACTAAGTAAATATATTATTAGATGAGAAAAGAAATTACTTCTCACTTTTTATGTCCACTTGATGTGGAGTAAATATGCCCTTAATACACGATTTGATCTTTGAAATTATCAAATTAACCACGGAACAATGACCCTTGTTTTTTGATTGCTGGTATATATATATATATATATACTAGATAACTCTTATTAAGGTTAATTTGCCAATTTTAAGGTTAAGGGCAAAAAGATATAAATTTGCTTATTAAATACAATTTGGTGGCACACATTTACAACAGTTAAAAATCTAGGATTTATTTTTTGAGTAAGCATAACACAAAAGGTAAATAAATAACCCTTATATCAATGGTGTATTGTTTTCAGAGCGTGCTCCGCATGTATTATCGTGTTGGTGATACTTAAAAAGTTTATTATTTACTAGATAATGATAAATTCATTTATATAACTATATAAAGATTTTTATTTTTATTTTAAAGTAAGTTATTTTTAAAAAATTTTAGTTGAAATAATATTCATTTTTAATTTTAAACGTTTAGTAGTGGAAAAGATCTACATAATTGTAAATTAAACGATCACGATTTAGTATAAAATAGTGTAAATATAACTTTTGATATGATAGTAATTACACGAAAAATAATTAAGTAGGTACACATTTAAAGAAATAAAAGTTATATAGGAACACATCGAAAGAAATTATTTTTATTGAAATAAAGCGAGGAAAAATATAATTAAAAGAAACACAAGTAAAAAAAATAAAAAAAACATTAATAAACTTTAAAAACAAAAAGAAATAAAAAATTTAATACTAAAAACGATAAAGACACAAAAAGTAAAGGAAAAAAATAGAGGAGCAATTGCCACGTGATAGCCCATAAAAAAAGCATTAAAGTTTTTTAATTATAGAGATATATAGAGAGATACATAATGGTATTTATTATTTAAGTTGCTTTGGTGTGCGGAATTATATCGGATTATATAAAATTATCAGTAAAAATTATTTTACTCAAGAAAATTATTAGTACAATTTTGATGCTATTTAATAAAATATTTTCAGAATTTCTCAAAGCATTT